AAAACCTGAATCATCATTGTTAATATAGGATGAGTTCTTGTTAAAAATTAAATGGACACTTGTTGATGAAGGACTAACACGTACAGTTAAACACATCTTATTTGTTTTTCTAGTTTGTTAAGACTTGAATCAACTATTGTTAATCTATAATGAGTTGGTTTTAAAACTCAAATAGATACTTTCTAATCAAAGACTAACACATACAATTATACTCATCCTATATATTTTTCTAGCTTGTTAAAGCCTGAATGGATAATTGTACCTATTAGTCTTTCATTAGCAAGTCTCTATTCTCATTTTAACAACAATTCATTCTAAATTAATAATAGTTCATTTAAACTTTAACAAGTTAGAAAAAACATGTAAGTTGAGCATAATTGTACGTGGTAACTTTCATTATCAAGTATCTATTTAAGTTTTAATAACAACACATTCTAGATTAACAAAAGTCCATTCGAACTTTGACAAGCTAGAAAAATATGTAAGATAGGTATAATTGTAAATGTTAGTCTTTTATCAATGAGTGTTCATTTGGGTTTTGACAACAACATATTCTTAATTAACAACAATACATTCAGACTTTTAATAAGTAAAATGCATGATATTTTAAAGTTTCTCATTTATAATTGTCCATATTAGATTAATAAGTAATATTAGTAAAATAATAAGTGTCGTTCAAAAACTAACAATACATCATTATATTATAACATGAAAATGGTTGAAAGCTTGGTTTACTACTTATATTTTTTGTCATATATAATTAAAGGACTTGGAGGTCTTAGGTGGCCAATGATCATGGGATCAAACCCTCCCTTGGCCACTTAAAGCAAATATTCTTTTAAAAAAATGTCGCTGGCACTAAAGCTTTGGCAACCTCATTGTCGATAGAAGGTCTAGCGACTGGAGACAGTGAAAGGTAGCCCCTTTTTCTTTAACCTTAAGGCCAATTTTATCTTTTAACATAAAAAATTAATATCAATCAAGGACCAAGAGACTACAGTGTAATTTTTAAATAAATTAATCCTTGATTGATGTTAATTTTCATTAGTGGTCCTTTAGTGCTATGTTTTCTATTTTTACCCAGTGCATCAAGAAGGGTCAACTCGCCACCTCACGCTTAATGTTGCATTCAAAAGGTATGAGAAATTTTAATAAGTTGGTTTTAGAAAAATAAAAACATATGATTAAATTTTTTTATTAATTTTTAAGTTTTTTATATCTATATCACTTCAATTTTTATTAATTTTACCAGATATCTTTGAATGCACTTATTCCTTCCTGGTTATCCATAGATATTCTTTTATTGGAAAGAATAATATTTGAGATATGATTAGGTATTAAATATAGATATTCCTCTCTATAAGGCTTGGTTAGTTAAGTTGTAAGGAATTAGCTCATTCCACCAAACTCAACTCTCTTTTATCTTACATCTTTTATTTATTAAAATTTCACAACTACTTTTATCAATTTTTTTTTAAATTGAACTCATGAAAATTTTTCCTCCCCATCTTAACGAAGGTGCTCACATTCGTAAAGAATCATAAAGATGCCTTATTCCCATATTAGTGGTGTTTAATCCGTTCTTCTATCTACAAACAATACATAAACTATAAAGTAATATAAAGCAAAAATATCCTGTAACTTTAATTCAAGTTTTACTTTCATCTTTTGATTTTATTTTGATGTTGGTCCTTTAATGTGTGCTTAAATTCCACTCTCGTTCCCTATACCTATATTTTGCTTCAATCTAGCATTTCAACTTTACATCATGGCTGTACTTAGTAGAAGGAATCATTTTAAAAGAATGAAAAGATTACAGGAAAAAGAACATTGCCTAAATGTATTTTGTTGGGACCAAAAGTTCTTTTGTAAGATAAGAGGTGGGAAAGGAAGGAATAAAAAAATGAAACAAAACTAACGAGAGTTAAGTTTAATGAAAAGGGTCAATCTCTCATAATGTAATAAATTAAGATTCAAATTTCAATAAAAAAAGTGCCTACATTAATGTTGACAATACCTCAAATATAATTGTCTTCAATAAGAAGATACTTATGAATAACCAAAAAAAAAATTGTGTAATGATACGAACTAAATTATATGCCTCTTATGCTGCCCAAAATCTAAATTGAGATACACCATCACAATTTAATATTTCTTTTTTTTTTTAATAACCATCACAACTTAAAAGTGTGACTTTCCATAAATTTTATTTTATAAACACACACACATATTGGTGATTCTCATTTCATTATGGTTATTGATTGATATAATAAGGTGTTTGAATATAATTTTACAAAATTATAGTTATATTTGATTTTCAATTTTACTTTGAATTTTGCTTATTAATTTTACTTTTCAATTATGCTTAAAATTAATTTTATTAATTAATTAATATTTAAATTTAATCATATTAATCAAGATTTTTTTTATAATCAATCCTTTTTTTTTTTTGACAGGTATCCAAAGGGGTCCTAAGGTGTTGAAAATCATTATGCAAATTCCACAGCGTTTTGTTGTGGATGAAGGTCCACTTTAATGTTTGATGACTTGGGTTGGGCTGTGGGCCCATTCGTGTGAATGGTTTAAATATGTTGCGCTAGAGCTCAACTGCAAGGAAAAAATATTTTAAATGTTGTTTGGAAGTTACTTGTACGGGGAAAAAATGTTTGAACCAAGTGAGTATGATATAGGTGATAGTGATTTGGGTGTCTTAAATATCATTTGAGGATTTGATTTTTGAAAATGTATATTAAAAAATATTTCTTGAAAGAGAAGACAATCCTTTAATCTTATTACTATCAACTGTAGGAATAACTCGAGATCTAAGTAATAAAAAAAAAAACATATGTTTGAGAAAGGAATCCCTGATTTAATAGCTTTGTTAAGCGAACAAAATGAAAGGTGTTACAATTTTTTGTATGAGAGCCTTGTGTTTCAATTGTGGATATGTGTATAAACGTTGTGTAAATCTTAATTTTAAAATTATTTGGGTTGAAAGGTATTCCTCATTCAATTATTTGTCTAGAAGTGTCTTGTATTTTGAACACATAGATGGTGCAAATTTTTCTCTTTAACATTTGAAAATGGGCATTAGGTACCTTAGTTTTTAAAAAAAGTTAATTTTAATTATTAGTTAGCTTAAAAATTGCATAAAAGAACTTTAAAAAATTTCCAAAAAATACACAAAATAGAAATACCCTGTAAATGATGATTTATGTATCATTATTAATTTAAAAATATTAAAATTTTTTGGAAAAATATTTCTGAAAATTTTTTCACGTTATGTGTTTGCTTCTTTTTTTTTTCTTCTTTTTATTCCTATTCTTTTCTTTTTTTTTTTTGAAAGGATTAAAGTTAACACTTCAAATAAATTTAACAGAATAAACAGGGATGCACTTACTTTAAAAAAAATAAAAAAATAAAAAAAGGTTCATGATCACTATTATTGACATAAAAGATACTGCGAATAAGACAAAGGATATTTAAATTTTTTATGCTAACAGTACCCTTCACTGTAACGCAACCCATGAAGAAAAGTAGGCCACTCGTAGTATTCACTCACTCGGTAAATCGTATCCACACACGCGTTTGCATTCTGTGATGCGCATCCGACGTCCAAATTTTTAAATTTTTACTTTATATTTATTATAAAAATTATAAAATTTTAATAAAATTAATCTTATTGAATAATATAAATTTAATTTCAATGACTTAACTTAATATTAAATTTTTTATAACTTTTATAAATTAATTATTCAGATATATTCTGTTCAGTCTGGATTTAATTAAATTTTTATTTATAATTTTTATAAATTTTTATTTTATCAAATATAATATTAAAAATTGAATATAAAAATAATTTTCAAATCATCTCTTTAAAAAATTTAAAAAATTACAACTTAAAAATTTTAAACCTAAACTTTACATTTAGATCGTTAATTTATAAAAATTATAAAAATATTTAATATTAAATTAAATTATCTAAATTAAATTTATATTGTTCAAATTGATAATAGAGTAGATTTATTAAAATTTATAATTTTTATTTTAATAAATAAAAAAAAAAATAAAAATTAAATAAGTAAATCTGGATAGTTCCAAATTGCTCATTAGTGTGGAAATCACATACATAAGTGTGGAAATCAGATATAGATGAGAATATGGTCAATTCAAACCATATAGATTGGCCCATATGAGTTAGGAAGAAAATAAGTTGGATTGGGTTCAATTTATTTTTATATAAGTTAAAAAAATTCTAACCCAACCCGACTCTTGAGAGTTGATGAGTTAAATAGACTAACTATCTAACCCATTTATTTATTTTTCTTAATTTATTTTTTATAAATTTTAAAAAAAACACACTTAAATAGTGAGTCCAATTTAATACTCCTTTATGATTCATTCTAACTATATCAAAATATTAATTTATAATATTTGTATAACATATATGAATTGATCTAGCTAAATAAGTTATATTTAATATAGTTTATATTCAAAAAAGTTTCACCTTTTTTCTTTTTAATTTTTTTGAAAAAAAAACATGGGTTAAACAGACTAATTTTAACTCCTTAGGGTTAACTCAAATAATTCACGGATTATATGATTCAGGTTAAAAAAATAATTTTTATTTGAATTATTTTTTTTAATCCAACCCAACTATTTTAACTAATTATTTAAGTCAACTCATAAAACTTAACCCATATTCTCGGCCCTAAAACCTGATGCCTCTACACACACAAGACGAAACCAATTTTAGTGCTCATCTGATTGGAAGGTCATCACTTTTCGATTGTTCAAATCTAATTTGAGTAGTCCAAATTTATAGCTTTTCAATTGATATTTTTTTAATAAAAAATTATGTTTTTAAAAAACTGAAAGTTAAATTTTTATTATTAGTTTATATTCTGTATTTATTTAAATAATTTTTTCAAAAAAATCAAAGTTAAATGATATAAATGAGCACCGAAGCTCCGTCCACACAAGAGACACTCTCTCATATTATAATATATATATATAGAGAGAGAGAGAGAGAGAGAGAGAGAACGCATCGTTGTGCGACTCAGGAATATCCAAATGGAGGACTCTCTCCCTCTCAATCTCTGCCATGACCAGAAGCATCAAGCTCTCATCAACAAGCTACACACACTCCTCCATCTCACTTCTCTAGCTTTCTTATTCTATTACAGAGCCTCTTCTTTCTTCTCCTTCTTCTTCCTCCATGAAACCACTAACATTAATACCACTATCTCCTTCTTTCCCTTTCTTCTGATCTTCGCTTCAGAAGCCATCCTCTCCTTTATCTGGCTCCTCGGCGTCGCCTACCGGTGGCGTCCAGTCGTCAGGACCGTGTTCCCAGAAAGATTACCGGAGGACGACCACCAGCTTCCTCCTCTTGATGTGTTCATTTGTACTACAGATCCAAGTAAGGAGCCTGCTGAGCAAGTTATGAACACTGTGTTGTCTGCCATGTCTCTTGATTACCCGCTGGAGAAGCTTCATGTTTATGTGTCTGATGACGGCGGCTCGCCGGAGACTTTATGTGGACTGAGGTCGGCTTGGAGGTTCGCAAGGTGGTGGCTTCCCTTCTGCAGAAGATACAGAGTGAAGAGTTGTTGCCCTAAGCTTTACTTTTCTGATGATGAGATTGACGATGGCGAAGATATTGAGTTTTTTGCAGAAAAGAAGAAGATCAAGGTTTGCTATTTATGGCTTTTTGTTTGATATTTATTTAATTTATGCTAATTAATTAAGTTGATGTTAGATCTAAAGATGAAATTTTGATCTGAAGGTAAAAAAAATAAAAATAAATTCTTCATTGAATTTTTTAATTTGTAGCAGATGTGAAATATAATTCCGAGCCTTGTTTGTTTTATTTAATAAAATTACTATATTTTAGTTGACTGTTGAGAAATTATTTTTATACTCAATTTTCTATTTTTAAAAGAAAATATTGATTTTTATAAAAATAAAATAAAAATGTATAACATAGATTCGATTATCCGACTAATTAAAAGGAACTTATACTTTCCCTAATATCCTCAAAGATGAGCAAATGCTTTTTTTTAATATTTCTAAAACTAGTTAAAATAAAATTATAGAATCAAATTTACATTAGAAATTTTAAAATAGAATCATATTTTTTCATTGTCTGATAAAATTATTTCCAACAATATTTAATCTAAAAATCTACAGATTTGAGTTTTAGTTTCGAATACAATATTTTCAATCAATTTTCTGTCACTGAGGTGTGTGTGTGTGTGTGTCTGAAGTTACTTGGACAGTTATTTTAAAAACTATAGGAAGTCTAAGGATTATATGGCCAAAGGATTGAGTCACATGCTGTCTATGAACTTATAAATAGTGTTTATTATATAAAATAAAATTGGATTGGGTTTTGTGTGCTTAAGCAAAATCTAAAATAAACTCTAATTTTTGCTGCTTATTAGCATATTGAGAATAATATCTTATTGTGTAAATATAGATATTAATATTGATGGCTATTGATTTGGGTGACAGGAAAAATATGAGGACTTTAAAGAAGACATAATGAGAATTAGAGCAGATGGGGCCGACTCTGGTATTAGTCAAGATCACCCCTCAATGATTGAGGTAAAATTAAATTAAGTTAAAATAATTTTCTAAATTATTATGAATTAAATTAAATTTTGAAAAAAATGGCTGCAAGGACCAAAAGGCCCAAATATTTGGGGAGAGGAGTGCCTCTGTCTTTTTTTAGGTCTCTTTGATGGATAGAAATGAATGAAATAGATTAAAAAAATAAATATAAAAATAAGGTGATCAAAATATAAATAAAAATAGATAAACTATATTTATAAGGAAGAAGGATAATTTAATTTATAGGGTTAAGAGTCATAATCATGAAATGTTTAGAGAGTGTAATGATTTTCATATATATAATATATAATATTAAGTTTTATCATACTTATTTTTTTATTTTTATTTTTTTAATTCATTCTATTCTCGTCATTTTTAACAATCAAATGGGATCTTACTCTTCATTTCTCTCCTTTTTCCCTCATCACCATTAGATTGAAGCTTTAACAGTTTTGATTTAATATTTGATAAAATTATTATTTTAATTTTAGTTAAAAATATATAAATAAATTTAAACTATCAAAATTTGATCTGAACATTTAAAGCCACTATATTTTATTTATACATTTTATGTAAAACAATAATAATAATTTTATCAAATATTAAATCTGAACTATTGAAAAGTTTTGATCTAACGATGATGAGGGAAAAAAGATGGAAAATAAAAGGTAAGGGAAAAGGCACCCTCCCCCAAATATTTGGACATAAACTATAAATGTCAAAAAAAAAAACCAGCAGGACCATGGTCCTTAAGTGACTATATATTTTTTTTAAAAAAGTAACAAAATATCATTTCTTTTTCTATATTTTGAAGTCATCTATAAATCTTTAGTAATTTGTATCTTGGAAACAAGTGCAGAAAAAGGAAGGAAGGGTATTTTGATATTTTTACTTAAAAAATATTGTCCCTCAAGGACCATGATCCTTTGTAGTCATCATTTATGTCTTTAGGACTTATACCCTTAAGTTTTATTTATTTTTATGATCAATTTTTTCTTCTTTTTTTTTTGAGTGGATATTATATATATATATATATATATAGAGAGAGTAAAAAAGTGATCTAAGAAGAGAGATTGATGAGACAGGCGATGCAAGAAAATGTTGAAGAGGATGAATTGAAGAAAGTGAAATTGCCTTTGTTGGTTTATGTTTGTCGAGAAAAAAGGACAAATCATCCCCACCATTTCAAGGCTGGAGCTCTCAATGTCTTGGTAACATATTCTAAACTGAACTCAATACTTTGCACTTACAGTATGTAAATCAGACTTTTCAAAGCCAAACCATGTTCATGTAAAGGGGGCAAATTGCGCTCATATTTTTGGGTTCGCAGTTATTTAGGTATATGATATTTTAACACTAAATCTGTAGATATATGATATTTCAAAAAAATAAATAAATATTACCAACAAAAGTTGATTTAGGTGCTTAGAATTTGGTCCATAACTCTGTAATGTTTGTGGATTCAAGTCCCGTTACCAATATCTGTAAGTGCTTTGAATATAGAGGCAATGCCCTGCTTTGATAATTTCTCTAGACCCAACTCACCTATATTTTTTTCATAAAAAATTAATTATTAATTTTTAAATTAAATTGTTATCCACCCCTTGACTCAGCTCCCCACTGGCGGAACTCTACATAATTTGCATAAAGAAATATTAATTTGTGTGTGCGTGTATTGTTGCAACCAGCGTGGTGCAAAGGGACCAGTAGGGCCACGTCTCCCAAGTTTTAAAATGATTTTAGTAGTATGTGGATCAAAGTTTTGACTCAGACAGGTCGAACTGTCACCAAATAAAGAAAGTGATTTGGTTCAATCATTTAATTCATTCTACTAGTTGCAGGTTAGCTTGCTATGACTGCATTTAGTTTCAGTGCTCATCATCTGACGAGCAATATGGACCATCCAAATTAGATTTATTAGTTTTATTTTATATTTTATTATGTATTTATTAAAATAAATTTTTTAATAAATTGACTTTATTATTAATCTAGATAATATAGATTTAATTTGAATCATTTAATTTAATTTTAATTTCTTTAAAAAAATTTATAAATTGACTGTTTAGATGTATTTTGAATAATTTTAGATCTAGTATGTCCAAAGTACATCTAGATAGTAAATTTATAAAAATTTAAAAAAAATTAATATTGAATTGGAACATTCAAATTAAATTTGTATTGTCCAAATGATAAATTAGATTTATTAAATTTTTATAATTTTTTTATAATAAATATAAAAAATAAATTCCATAAAATTTAGATGGCCCAGATACTCATCAAGTAATAAGCACCAAAACTGAACCCTGCTATGACCTGGGTTTTGAAAATATAGCAAAAACCCAAAATGTAGAACAATTGCATTGTTTTGAACTATTTTTCCTCTTATTCTAATAATACATTTTTTATTCAATTTAAAAATATTAATGTCAACTTACTTCTGGATTATCATAGTAAAATATTGAGTACATGATTTTTTTATTAGCATTATATGAATAAAAGTGTAGGGAAAATTGAAAACTCATTTACTTTAAAAAAAACAAATAAGCTAAATAAAAATATATACATATGAAAAATGAGAAAAATTAAAATTTAATATATTATGATTGAACAACTTTGACTAGGGAAAGATATTATCAGTATTTTTAATGTTATATATACATTTGCATATAAATATTAATTTTTATTTAATTATTATGTCACTGGTTCAACTACCAGTCTAATTGGTTAAATCGTAAGATCCATTACTTGCTATACCTTTTTGGTTCATTGTCTAGTTTAGTTTTTGTAACATTGATATAGATGTTCCCCTTGAAATTTATAAAAGTTTTGTAGTGTGTATATGTGTAATTTATCTTATTTTCCTTATAATTAAATCACGGTTTCGTCGTTGATTACAGCTTCGAGTATCAGGTGTGATAAGCAATGCTCCATACTTTTTAGTCCTGGACTGTGACATGATGTGTAATGACCCAACTTCAGCAAAGCAAGCACTGTGTTTCCATCTTGATCCCAAGATATCACCATCTCTTGCTTTTGTTCAATTCCCTCACAAATTTCGATCTATCACCAAAAATGATATTTATGACTCTCAGCTTAGATCTGCATTCAAAGTTAAGCATTTACATGCATGCATAAACACACACACACACACACACACACACACACATATATATATATCTTTAGCTTCAAGGATTCTTATGGTTTCATAATCAGATGTGGATTGAATCTTAAACCTTGATGATTAGGTTTTGTGGCATGGAATGGATGGCCTTCAAGGACCAGTATTGAGTGGAACTTGCTTTTATGCAAAAAGGGTTGCATTATATGGAAATTACACTTGCAAAGGTATGTGATAATGTGTTATTCTTTAGATTTGTTTTACTTAATTTGTTTGTTAAGGAGAATATAGATCTAGTTTAATTTCAAGGACCAAAATCTATGAGCAATTTATATATTGATTAATTTGACATTGATTTGAATGCTAGGTAATATTGAACTTGCTCAACTTCAAAAACAATTTGGCTCATCCAATGAGTTTATCAAATCTTTGAGCAAAAACTACACACCGGATTTGGTCTCTGATGATACTCATGCATTGTTACAGCCAGAGATTAAGCTGTTGGCTTCTTGTAACTATGAAACTAGCACCAAATGGGGTCAAGAGGTGTGTGTGTATTTATATAGTGAGTAGTTTACATTTCAAACTTATTTTAATCATATATTTTGATTAATTGCATGAATTTTTTCTCAGTTTTTTATAATTAATCTTCTCCCTTCAATCCTAAATAGGAGATACTTTTAATCAACTCATGTATTTGTTACATTCTTGAACTTGTCAAAAAGGAACCTAAGAAAGGAAAATAAACTTCTAGAAGATATGTTATATTTAAGAATGGAGGGAGTATGTAAATTTGTATTGCTTTGCTGATAGATATGTTGCTAGCAGGTTGGATTTTTGTATGCTAGTGTTGTTGAAGATGTCCTAACTGGGTTCTTCTTGCACTGTAATGGTTGGAGGTTAGTGTTTTGTGATCCTCCCAAGCCACAATTTTTGGGAACTGCAACTACAAATTTGAATGACTTGTTGATTCAGGGAATAAGATGGAGCTCTGGCTTGATTGAGATTGTGTTGAGCAAGTTTTGTCCACCAATATATGGCCCTTTCAAGATGCCTCTACTTCAGAGTTCATGTTATGTAGAACTCACACTCTTTCCTCTTTATTGCTTGCCTATATGTTGTTTTGCTATCATCCCGCCACTTTGCCTACTACATGGAATCCCCTTGTACCCAAAGGTAACAATAAACAATTATCATAGGGATAATGAAAATTTTAACTTCTTAAGTTTGTTTCAGTTATCAATTTTTTCCTTAAAATTCAGTCTTTATCAATCAACTCTCTAAAATTTTTTTACTGTACATAATTAGTCTTTATGATTTGAAGGGGAGATAACATTATAAGAATTAATTATGTATGAATATGAAACTCTTGAAACTTAATTGATAAAAATTAAATTTTAAAGACTAAATTGATAACTTGAGTAAAAAAATTTATTATCCCATTATTATAACTATTTAGAATCTAATGTTGATTGTTTTCTTTGCAAGTATTGTGCATCATGGTGTTGTCTTTAAACAAACACATAGGTGGGGAAGTGGCCTTATTGTTTAGGTGGAGTTTATTACCCTACTTGTTTGTGGCTTTGCTTCGTAATGGAGAATTGATGCACTTAAATACACTATTACAACCAAAAAAACTTATAGGAGCATTTCTTTTTTGCCTACAAGAGTACTTCAAAAGCACTAAATAGCCATATATATCAGAGTGCCAACCTATGGAGAGCTTTTGAAGAACTCCTATAAGCACATTTTGTTGTGATTTTATTTTAATATTCTTAATTTTTTGAATAATTTCTTTAATACTTTGACATGGTAGGCCCAAACTCAAATAAATATACTTATTTTTCTTGTTTGGTTTTGACAGGTCTCAAATCCATATTTCATCATCTTTACCTTCATCTTTATATCGGCACAATGTAAGCACTTACAAGAAGTCTTCACATCAAGAGGCTCATTCCAAAAATGGATAAATGAACAACGAATGTGGATGATCAAATCAACCACATGCCACCTTTATGGATGTTTGAATGCTATCCTCAACAGTCTCAATCTAAGAAAATCAACTTTCTTGCTTACTAACAAAGTAGAAGAAGATGATGATGACAAGGGCAATGATGAACAAGCAACCACAACATTGTACCAAATGGACATGTTTGATTTTAGAACCTCACATATGTTTCTAGTCCCAATGCTTGCATTTCTCTCTATCAACATCTCGTGCTTGGTTGGAGGACTGTATAGGGTGGTCTGTGAGAAAAATTGGGAAGACATGTTAATACAGATTTTAATTTTTGGATATGTCATCATTGTGAACTACCCTATCATTGAAGGCTTGCTTGTGAGAAGTGATAAGGGACGTGTTCCTGCTTCTGTTGTTCCTTCCTTTACTATATTGTTCATTTTTATCCATTTGGGATTTTTACTTTTATGGATTATTTAATTTATGAATCTATTACTGTAATCTCTCTGTTAGAGTCTAAATAAGCAATGTAAGTGGAGGAGATTTTATTTTGAGATATACTATATATTTGATAATTACTTGCTAACAAAATCCTAGTATTAGCAATGAAATTTAAACTAATACTTTATAAGATATGAGATTTATTATTACCGAAGAATTTAGAGAAGAAAGAGAAAATGAGGTCAATGATAGAGATAAGTGTACAAGCTTATACAGAGCCATATCTTCTGAAGTTAGTATAATAGAAGAGGTTACATAACCCATTCTAACAGGTATTGGATCTTGCCTACATGAAAATCAAGTGTCTAGAGAGGTCATTTATATCTACCATCTTATTTTTGTGAGTTCTAGTCTAAACTCACGTGTGATCTAAAGTTTGAAAGAAGCATGTGCTTCTACCTGATTTAAACACATGAGTTCCAGAAGGCATGCATGTAAGAAGTAGACTAAGCTTCATGTAACATCCCAAGATTTTTAAGTTGAGATTTATGAATTAACTGAGGGTAAATTAGTAAATTAGAGTATTAATCAATTTACTAATGTTTTTGAAAGATAAATGGGCTCCATGAATTCTTGGAAGCCTTAAATTTGGGCTAAGAAATGATATGGGCCACCTGAGTATAAACAAAACAAAGTTATTTAGATCAAGACCATTGTGATGTCTCCTATAGCAAATTCACCATGCACCACAATGGATGGGGAGAGAGTAGATTTAAATTGTGATTCAAGAAATAGAAAAGGAGAGGGAGAAATAGAAGAGATCCAAACGAGCTGGTGTATAGGTATGCTAAGGTTTGACTTAGGTGCTACAAGGAGGTGATTTTGAGCTAAGAATTATCAAGGTAAGCTTATCATTTTTCCTCCCTACCTCTCTATGCGAATTTTCTAAGGATTTGGGTGTTGGGAGATAGGGCCTCACTCAATAAATAAAAGTTACTCTAGGAATAATAGGTTAATCTAAGCTCACATTGACGAGAAGGTTTGGCACCTCGATGTCAGCTCTTTACCACCTAAGGCTATAGTATGTTCCAAGGGTTGGGCGAACTTTCATCTCTTATGATGGTTGGTCTAAACCCATTAGCTTAGATGGAGCTATTAAGCATCAATTTAAGCTTCTAAACCTAGGTTAGCATTTTTATAATGTTGTGTGGTTGGGTTCTTTAATTTGGACAAACCTTAAGTTTAAAATGGATGATTGGGAGCAATGTGGACCATTAATTAGTGATGTTTAACTTATTAAAAGATAAATAAAACTAATAAAAGGTTGTTGAGATTTGAGTTATGTCAAAGATGAAAGTTATGAGATTGGTTTTGTTAAATTTAGATAAGGGCTTTGTATTATAGTTTGTAATTGATGTATTAGTATATGTAATTTTACATTGACATTGTCTATATACTTTTTGAGCAAGAAGAGGCTTGAAGAGTGTATAAATTCATGGGTAACCCTTTTTGATAACAAAATGGTTGAGGTAATCGGATAATCTAATTCTTTTACTTGCTTGTTGGATTGTTGTGAGTGTTTAGTAAATGATTTTATGATTGTCTTGATAAATATAATTATTGTGTTTTGTTTTAGAAAATGCTATGTGAAGTAGGCAAGAGGTTTTAGAAAGTATTTGCATACCTGTGTGTGTTTGTTTGTGAAAAAGGATTTAAATGAAATTATTGTAAATGTTGATCATGGTTGAGAATATGTGTGAGAAAATGAATATGATAGGGAATGCTTTATTAATTGCATACTTGTTATTATGGCATGATCATGTTGTTGGAGTTGAGAGTTTACTCAAGAGGGATTAGTTTAAATCCATATGATACCCACGAATACCATGAAGGCAACTTAGTAATCAATTTATTACTTGATAGCCCCATTATCACCTTAGAGGTGAAGATTAAGGCCTACAACTCCTAAAGCATTCGCAAAAGAAAAATTTATGGTTTGAAAGTAAGTGGATTTTTTAGCTGAGTCGCCCCTTATAAATGAAGAGCTTGGGATAGTTTAGTCATATAGACTTAGTCTTGTTTGTATTGTTAGTCCATGGATTTAGTTGAAGGTATCAGAAGGTCATGAGGGAGGAGCATAATGATCATGCATGGTTAATTGTATATTAGTATTTGTATCGATTGTGTTCATGATCAACTAGTTTGAATAGCTCACTTTGCATGCTCATTAACTATCATGACTTGCTTGTAGATATATTAGATTATTTGATTATAGGACATTGTTCTCACCTCCCATAGTTATTATTTTATAGGTGATGATTCTAGTAGGAGACAAGGGAAGGCTACAGAGGGTAAAGAGTAGACGAGCCACTACTTTTATAATGCCCTTCTTGTTTACGTCAATGTGTAATTTTGAATATATATTTATGATTTCCAGCAAGGACTTCATTACTTTGGGTTGCACTTACATGCATGCAAATATTAATGTTGTTATATTTTGCCCTAAAATGTTGTAATTGTGATGAAACGGTTGTTAAGAGCCAAAATACTAGTGCAAATATAGAATAGAAAATATTAGACTTGTTAGGATAATTGATCATTTAGGATTGCTATGTGCAAAGAAGTTGATTTTATGCCCTATTTGATAGTTATGGAGTTTTGTATGGCTATATTGTATTCTAATGTTTTTACATGTATATGATGTGCTAATCAGGTACTTCTTGTAACGTCCCAAATTTTAAATTTTTAGGCTTAATAATTAACCAAGGTCAATTAAGGGTATGAGACAAAGTAAGAATGGGTTAGGAGTAAAGTGGAGTAAGATTTGGGGGCTTAAGAGTGATTTGAGAAGGAACTTGTTCTCTCTATATAACTGATCAATTATGTATTTTATATATTAAAACACTTGATTTGTGGCATCAAATTGTGCATATTAGGGTTATGTTCCCAGTTTTGAGTGGTCTTTTCCATATTGACTATATGAACCCTAATGATGCTATTTGATGATTGTTTTAACACTTCTAAATCTTAATTGAGATCTTAGGCTTTAATTATCTTTTCTTCCTTTTTAATTCTCTTTTTAAAATTTATTTAGTCTTGTGTCTTTTATTTTTAGATTTTGTAAGGGCAAAATTGAAATCAATAAGCAAGACTAAGTCAACATGATTAAGGATTCAAGAGCAAGCTTAAAGAGGGCTATGTGGCATCATAATATTTAGAATTAAAGAGCCTGAGTGGCGTGATTAATCACAAAAATTAATTAGAGAATTAATTAAATAAAAGCCAAGGAGCATGGAAGGCATTTGATGACATCATCATAAGGCAAATGAAGAGCATGGGAGGCGTGAATTGAAGCTAAATCTAAGGAAGATGATGTGGCATCTGATTAGAAGTTGGATGAAGTCACATTGTCTACACCTCACTCACATTGCCATGCTCCATGATCAACTACATTAGCGTCCTTAATTCTTAATTTTCCAAAATTATTTTGAATTTCTAGCTGGATATTAACCATTTTCATATCTGGACTAGTTTGATATTATCACTATTTACATTGTTATTATCAACCTTCACATTTTTCACACCTACATAAGCCTTAATTTCAATTTTCAGATTCATTCTTCACTTTTCATCTTCAGCTTTTCCATATTTTCTCTCCTCATTTCCTCTAAAATTTCGTCCATACTTTCCCTGCATTTTTCCAAATCCATTTCTCTCATCTTCTCTATCTCATTTAGGTCTAGATCATTCCACCTTCATCTCTATTCCATCCAACATTATTCCTTCATTCTCCTTCTTCATTTGTCACGTCTAGATTCATTCTTTTAACTCTCTAGAGTTCATCCAACAAAATAGCCTCATTTCCAGCTTCATTTCTTCATCTTTATACATCTATGTAAGCCTTTCAAGCTCAAAAACTCAACCAAGTAATGGAGAGGAGTAAGAGAGGTTGATCTACATTGAGCACCAAGGAAGATGATTTAGTAATTTGAGTTTTCCAGATTTGTTCTCCTCATTTGTTTTCTTAATTTCATGATTTCTTCTTGTTTCTTATAGATTTTGAAATTTGTAATATGATTAGATTATGGGTTTTGATTCCAATTTCATGTTTAGTTGAGATCATGAATGTTGAATTTAAGTTTGATAATATGTTTCAATGCTAGAATTCATGAACTCATTTAAGTGTTCTTAAGTTTGTTCATGTGTTCTTGCTTTTCTTATTCAGATTTTTATTTCAGCTTGAGCTAGATCTATATGATTTTGTATGAATTTAGTTTAAGAGGTTTTTCTTGTACTTGATTTGGTTTGAATTAAGTGGCTAAGAACAAGGCTAATCATATTATTAACTTTAATTCACTTGGCCTAAATTCTTAAGTAAATATTTGAGTCAAATGATTTACTACACTTGAAAGTTCTTTAAATATTTTACAGTAGGTGAATTATGATTACTTGTGTGGATTTAAATTTGAAATTCAATGACAATTGCTAAGGAATCTTATTTGGGCTCTCCATTATACTTATTCATATCATTTCATTCAAAACAAAAATTATGAACACTTAATTCTTGCAATTTAGATTTAGTTTCATTACTTGGAAACTCTTTTAATTTGTTGGCATTTGAACTAAGAATTTGTATGCCTTGCTCTTTAGGGAGATGACCTAGAATGCTCATTGCTACATTTTTATTAAATTTGATGACCTTAAGTGACTAGGGTTTCATCAATAACCATCCGTGATTGTAACCTAAATAAGTAACTATCGTGCACAGACAAGCATTCTTGGAAAATGAGTATGCTTTATGTTCACAACCCTCCATGGTTAAGTCCTTTATTGAAGATAATCATCCATGATTATAGACAAAGGGGACAAATATTGATTAGTGGCTTTAATTGTGACCGATTGTGATTATAACGTGAACAACTATTTGGAGTTGAAACATCATTTTTGCATTATAAGAGTCCAAAAAATGCATAAATAGAGAGAAGAGAGAGAGAGGGGCACAACATTTTTATCATTAGAGGTGTTTTTGAGCTAGAAATCACTTGAGGTAAGTTTTTCCATCCTTCCTCTTCCCTTCTAGCTTCCATTTAAGCTTAGGTTCCTAATTTTCTCTTGAT